AAGTAATCAACAGAGACCTGGCGGGCTGTTGCAGACCTCAGGAGACGTTTTAGCAACTGTGCCTGGGCACCTTTTTTTTCTGGCCCTAATCGCTCCTCCTGACATTGTCTATAAAACTCAGGAGCCTGACGGGCTTCAATAAAAGAGCCCGTGTGGATTCTGTAATCTGGGGCAAGGCCGGAGCACTCAGGGTAGAGGTAGATCACCATATTGTGTGCAGCGTAGCTTAGCCCTTCACTTGCCTTCCTCCTGGGGCTGCTAACTTCACGTGGAAGGCCAGGCTAGGAGAGAAAGAAGCAGAATTCCTGGACGGGTGCCCAATTAAATTAACCCAGTATATCACTGATTTATTTCAGCCTATCTTCAGGACGAATTAGAAAGCAAAAGTCCCAAGGGGAGTCATAGCATCGATTACCTGACATCCAAGCATTAACTAGCTAGGTTCAGTGCATCATGCTACAACGAATAATATAATTAATTAATTAACTAATCAGTTAATATAACTTGAGGGCCCTCCTGGGCCTGGAGAATTAAGGTTGGCCAAGGTCTTTCTCCTACATAGAAGTTGACAATTTCTTATCATTCCTCTCCCCCAACCCACCCCAAGATCAATGGTGTCCTGTGCTCATGTTTCAGAAAGCAATGTTGTCAGCATAGCAGAAACCGCTCTAGGTATATCAACAAAGGATATGGTTATAAGGGTCTGGAGATGGATGAAAGAGCAATTTGAAAAGGGTGGGGGTATCTGGGGAGCAAAAAGAAGAGGTGATAACCACAGATCAGAAGCTACTAACGCCTCTAGGCTGGGACCCGTGAGCCCCCACCTAAGGTTGTTGAAGATGCTACTGGATTTATCAACGAGGAGCAACCTCCACCAGAACCAGCACTGCACAAAAGGGGCTGCCTCTGCCTGGGACCCTGGCATCAGCCCTCCTCTGTTCCTGCTACAACTGCAGAAATTTCCCTCAAACATCCAGAAAGAGCTGTGGCAGGTATTGCAAGCCTGGCGCTCTGGTTCTAGAATTCACACTCCTCATCACTAAGATGGAGCAAACAAACAAAAGACTTTAATGTGAGTATGACTGATGGCCTCAAAGAGCTGGGAAGATATTGTATTCTGTAAGTAAGAACAGTCTGACATGGCAATGAACCACACCTAGTTGCAACATGGTGAAATTCTAGAAGAGTAAGAACAAAGAGAATATTCCAAAAAGTTCCCAGGATAAAATAAAAGATACCCACTAAAGAAGGGATATTCAATTGGCGTTGTGTTTCTCGTTGGTAATACCAGATGCTAGAAGGCAATGCAGAGGTTTTCCACTCTCAGACCCTTTCTGAAAGAGAATATTCTGGGAAGAAAAGCAGGTTAAAATGGTTTTTTTCCCAATAATATTCTGAAATTGAAGTTCCACACCATCTCAACCTAGGATGTAGCAGCAGAAAGGTAAAATAGGGAAATAAAACATGCTGTTTTTTCTCTTGCTCTGGATGGAGATCCCAATTAACTCTATACTTTGAAAGAACAATATATTTAATAATGTAGTTAAAATTTCAAAGGTAGTTGCCAAAGGAATAGAACTAGCATGCCTTACTGCCAAATCATTGAAGAAAGGAAAAAAGAATGCAACAAAAAACCTTAACCAATGTAACAGAAAACAAAAGGAAATGACAAATAAGAAAACATGGTAAATAGACATTTCTCAAAAGAAGACATATAGACGGCTGGCAGGCATATGAGGAAATGCTCGACATCACTAACCATCGGGGAAATGCAAATCAAAACCACAATGAGATACCATCTCACCCCAGTTAAAATGGCTATTATCAGAAAGACTACATGGTAGCGATGGTTGCACAGCTTCTAAATTTACTACGAATCATTGAAGCAAACATTAAAATGTGTGAATATGAATAAAATTAAAGAGAATCTGGGTTCAGACTTGTCTCTGCCACTTGTGATCCATGTGACATAGAGTAAGTCATATAGTGACATAACCTCTGTGAGCCTCAATTTCCCCATCTGTAAAATGGAGATGCAACAGAGGACTGTGGAGGGGCAGGTGAGATCATGCGTGTTGTGCCCCCAGCACCAGGCCCGACAGGTGTCTGAGGAGCTCTTATGAACTGCCCAGCACCCTGTGCTTTCGGGGAAATCATTCCCACCCAAGTTCCCCCCAAGTCCAAGGTCCAGCTCCTGCTTTTATTTGAGTCGCTGGTTCCATATACACTTAGGAATATGTCAGCCTCTGCCTTGTCCCCAAATCCCTAGTGCAAGAATCACTCAGAATATTTCTAGGCCAGAACCAGAGTGTGTCGACTTCGTCTGATCCATAGCTCCAGAAATTGAGGCATTGCCGGAATGCCGTACTGGGATGGAAGAGACCCTGGCCAAACACACGCATTATCTCTCCACTTTGTATTTTACTCTTTTTCTAAATGATAAAAAAAAAAAAAAAAAAAAAACCTTGGCTTAGCAGGCCTGAGCTGCCTAGAGTTGACAGATTCTATAAGTAAGTTGCAAGAAACATCACAGCACTGGCAATGGACCTTCGGGGAACGAGTGTCCAGTGAGACGGTGATTCACTCTGATGAGGGCTTCCTGATGAGGGCTCGAACCAGCTGGGGGGGTTGGTCAATTTACGAGTTCACAGAAGACTCAATAAAAGCCATAAATGAAAAGGGCACGTGGGTGTGAGCACACCGCCTGGCGTCAGGAGGTCCCAGACGACAGAACACAAGGCCAATAATTCTGATGAGGCTCAAGGTTTATCGGCCACGCAGTGAAAGGTACAGACTGTCCAGAGGAAACAGATTGCGCCTGCAGACTGTGGGAGCCATTCCTCAGATTCCTCGGGCCCGGGATCTGTGAACAGTGCCAGGTGGCGATGCCTTCTCTAACACAATAAATCCTGGTGCCTCCCAGGTTGACCCTGGGTAAGGACTCTTCTGAGAATTTGCAGCTGGTACTTCTTCCAACCTGCCTGACTTTCCACCACTCAGGCCACTCTTGGGGAACTGAATGCTTTAAAGTCTTCCAATTATAATATGAAAAAGCTTTGGAATAGGCCTCGTGTTATACTTTCATTCACTGCTCTAATAACACTACTGTTATTTCCAATATGGAAAAGGCTGGTTCTCAGGTCACTCCCTCTCCTAAAATAATACAAGGCATTCTGTGATGGTCAGGGTTAGATGAGATAGAGTAAAAAAAAAAAAAAAACTTAGCATATACCAGGCACGTAGGTATGTCCCATAAACTGTAGTTATATAATTTCTCACTATCAAAACCTTTTCTCATGAAAGGACTTTCAGGAGAGAAATCATCATGAAATGATATTTCTATTATAAACAGTAGTGTATATTATAATAAAATGAATAATAGTAATAAAAATTACTGCTATTAACCTGTTTTGTGCCACACACTGCTCTAAGTGCTCTGGGGCCTCTCTCTCATTTGGAGAATGTATAATACATGCTAAACATATATATATAGCCAGATAGTATATGATATGATAAGAGGACAGAAGTGATGAGAGGTGTTCTTTATTTTTGATAGGATGGTCAGGAATGTCCGTCCTTGATATAATGACATTTGAGCAGAGTCCTGAACAAAGTGAGGAACTGGGCCATGTGGATGTCTTGGGGAAAAGACATTCCATGTAAAGGGAACAGCACGTGCAAAGGCCCTGAGGCAGGGTCACTCATAGTCCATCTGAGAGCTGAACAGTGACCAGTGTGCAGGAGTGGAGCGAGCAGAGTAGGTCAGGGGAGTAATACCAGATAAAGACAGATGGCAGGAGCTGGCTTCTCCCAGGCCACAGGAAGGAGTTGGGATTTTATCCTAAGTGTTTTGGGGAAAAAAAATGGAAGGTTTTCAGCAGAGTAACATGATCAGTTTTACTCAGAGAGCACTCTGGCTACTATGTGAAGAGTGGGTTACAGAGAGGGGAGGGAGGAAGCAGGGGACAGTTAGTTGAAAGGCTACCATAGTGGTCTAGGCAGGTGACAGAGGGGGCCTGGCTAGGGAGGTGGTGAAGTCAGAGAAGAGTGGGTGGATCCGGGCCATGCTTTGGAGGCAGGACCAAAAGAGGCAGCTGAGCATCGCATGTGGCGTAAGTGTGGGGCAGGAGGAAGGGAAGGAGGAGCAGTGGTGACCCCTAGCTCTTTGGTGGGCGCCCTGAGGGATGGCCCCATTAACTGAGCAGCAAAGACAAGAAGAAACATTTGGAGAATGGTAAAATGTAAAATATTAAGAGTCAGGGTCACACGTTAAACCTTATCTGTCATTTACACCTCCTTATGAATTATACCATCTTCTACTAATCATGGCTTTTCAGTTTATAAAAATCTTTCATCTCTACCAGATTACATATGGTGCATTACATAGTATACAGTACATGATATATAGTACAGATGAAAGTTGCTTGTATATATAGCATACATTACATATGTATACTATGTTGCATATAGTTTATATAGAATCTATAGTGTGTATTATATGGTATATATTAAATATACTGCAGGATACTGTATTATATGTAGTATATGTCATAATCACTATAAAGATGAACACTGCATAGTATGTATTTGTGCTATTATGTTATGTAGTATGTATGATAGAGCACATATCATATGTACTATATGTTTATATGCTACAATTTATATTATATATACTATAAAATGTATCATACCTAGTATACTATAGATTATTCAATATATACGATGTCATATATTCCATACAGTGTGCATATACAATATAATATGCTACGTGCAATTTTGTATAGAAGAGAGTTTCTTGTATACTAGCATATATTATGTGTTATATAGTATATATAACATATGTAAGTAGTATATATTACACACTATATTATACATATAGTATATTACATATAGGATATTATTTATTATCTCTTTGGGCCTTAGAAATCCCCTAACCTTCCCCCTAGCTCCTCTCCCATGCCATCAAGAGAAAACAAGAGTCTCAGAGAGGGAATTAACTTTTCCACATCCCAGAGGTGGCAGAACAAGGGGCTGAAGCCAGGTGGACAAAACCTCTCTTCCCTACACTGCTAGGTGAGCTTCAGACCCTTTTGCCAGAAAGCTTTGATGGTAAGAAATTTTTGCTCTTCACAGTTCTGTAAAAAAAAAAAAAAAAGGAAAGAAAATTTTGATCCTATTTATAAGACATACATTATGTTCCAAATATCATACTAAGAATTTCTAAATTGTATCTAATTTAATCCCCTCCACCAAAACCACCTCATAGTATGTGCTTTCTCATGATCACCTTTCCACAGATGAAGAAATTGAACGTCTGATAGGTCAGGGACTTTGCCCAAGGGTCACAAGATGGATGAGGAACAACACATAAACTCTTAATCCACCAGAAGGGAGCATGTGGATGCAGAAGTCCGAATGTCAATTATTAAAAACATCAGCTACGCGACTGAAATCCAGGTGTTGCTTCCACTAAGTATATGGAAAGAAATGCCCAGTTTTCCTGTGACATTTCCCTTCTGAACTGTCTTGTTTGTAGCTAAAGAGATTTCCAATTTGGGCTTCAGTGCATTGATTGTGTTGCAGAGTTAAACCCTCTTCCTGGAAAAAAAAAAAAAAAAAGAGGAAATTATTAAAACTGAGCCTGAAAAAGAAATAACTAGCACACAGACAGCAAAGATGGAGTTGAATCCTTCAAAGATGGACATTATATAAATAGCAGCCTAGATTCCAAAAGTATAGATTGCTCCTATCCAGGTTCTTCAAAAGCTCCCGATGCTTGAAGGAAAATACCCTTAAGTAGACACTGGTCAGTTATCTTTCCCTTATTGCCTATGCAAACTCATCCTCCTAAGCTGCACATTTATCTTCTCCTATTCTCCATCGCACAAATTACCTGGAGCCCATATTTCTCCATGTTCCAGCTCTCAAAATTGCACAAAGAATTTCCTGATGCATTGCCTGGTGCCCCTGGTTTGTCAAGATGGTGTATACTCTGAGGCACTGCCTAGAACATAGAGGGAGAGGGGGAAATGATGAGGCAAAAGGCGGCAAGAGCCTGGGTCTTGTCCACAAAGACCAGGAAAATGAGCATTTTCTCAGATGAGCTAATAGCGTGTGGGTTGCATAGGGAGGGTGCAATGCCTCTTGCTAGTCTCTTGGAATTGGCTCCAACCATTCTCCATCACCTATGTGAACAGAGAGTTACCAGCTCTTGGGGGTAAAGGATATCAGTAGCCCGCACTTATTAAGCTCCTACTTTGTACCAAGCACAACACTTATTGAGCACCTACTGTATACTAAGCACATATTTCCCTAATCCTTACAGCAACCCTGAGAGAGAGAGAGAGCATTGTTTCCTCTTACAGAGAAAAGTAATCGGAGATTATAAACATCATCATAGCAAGATTTTGTCTGTCTTATTAGTCCACATCATCATCAAAGTGCCTCACACCTGGTAGGAGTCAGTAAATATTTGGTGAATGCATGAATGAGTAAACTAAGAAACAGAGAAATATGGCATATAGTATTAGTAAAGAACAGGACACTGGAGTTGGAGGGAACTGGGTTTGAGCCCCAGCTTTGCTAGCTGCTAGCTGTGTCATCTCTAAACTTCATCCGCAAAACAGATGTAACAATGATACCTATCTCCTGGAAGGAGAGAGCGCTGGCAAAAGTACTTGGTAACCCAGCCCTGATAAATGGTAGTTATCTTTATTATGGTGTCAGGATGTGGTCAAGTCTACATTTGAATTAACTTAATATTTGATGATGATGATGGAGGAGAAGGTGGAGGTAGAGGAAGAGAGAGAGAAGATCAGGATGATCACAGGAGTAAGTATCAGTGGGGGGAAAAAAGAGCCCATCTTGAAAGCATGGGAAGATTTGTGTGTAGATGAAAACCTCCCAGAGGTGCCCAATACATCCCGTTGAATTGTACCAGTCTCTGCAAGGGCCGCCGTCTGTCCTGAACAGGCACCTGAATTCAGGCTTCTCCTTTCCCCATTCCAGCTAAGTGGAGTTAGATGTGACATTCTTTCCTCTACTATCTACTTTGGAAATGACATTTCAAGTTTTGCATTTAGTCCCTTTAAAGGCATTTAAAGATCACATCCAAAATGTCTGGGTTGAATGTTTCTCAGATACAGTGGTTCTCAAAGTGTAGTTCCCAGAGCAGCAGCGGCCAGGAACTGGTTAGAAATGCAAATGCTTGGGCCAGGCACGGTGGCTCACGCCTGTAATCCTAGCACTTTGGGAGGCCGAGGCGGGCGGATCGCTCAAGGTCAGGAGTTCGAAACCAGCCTGAGTGAGGCCCCATCTCTACCAAAAATAGAAAGAAATTAATTGACCAACTAAAAAATATATATATAAAAAATTAACCGGGCATGATGGCGCATGCCTGTAGTCCCAGCTACTCGGGAGGCTGAGGCAGTAGGATCGCTGAGCCCAGGAGATTGAGGTTGCTGTGAGCGAGGCTGACGCCACAGCACTCACTCTAGCCTGGGCAACAAAGTGAGACTCTGTCTCAAAAAAAATTTAAAAAAAAAACAAAAAAGAAAGAAATGCAAATGCTTAGACCCCCTCCTTGAACCTCAGAAACAAGAAACTCTGGGGGAGACGAAGGGGGAGGAGGGCAGCAGCGATCTGTGTTTTAACAGCCCTCCACGTGGTTCTGATGTACCAGTAAGTTTTGAGAACTGCAGGTCTCTCAAAAGGCAAACAGGGAAGCCAAAAACTGTCCTCTCTGTTTAGTCCCTGAGAGGTTTCCTGGTTTTTAAGTGAGAAGGGTGAGATGTAAAGCAGGACTCCCTGGAGAATGAATGGCTTCTCCGGCACATTGTAAAAGAATTTGACATCAGAAAAGCCACAAAATAGTTGCTTAATAAGTCAACCAAAAAAATATCGAGCATCTACTATGTTTCAGATACTGTGCTAAGTGCTGGGGAAACCACAGCAAACAAGACATATGATTGTGGCTCTCCGGGGTGGAACACGGGTGCCAACAACCTGCGTTTCACACACATCAAACTGGCAAAGATGAAAAGTCTGACAAAACCAAATGTTGGAGAAACAGGAATTTTCATGTACTGCTGGTAAGAGTGGAAATTGGTTCAGCTGCTTTGCAGAGCAATTTGGTGAGATTGAGTCAAGTTGAAGATGTGTGGCCCCTACAGCCCAGCAATTCCACTCCTAGGTCCATACCCTAGACCTGGAGAAGCTCCACCAGTTTGCACAAGGCGAAATGTACAGGAGTATTTATTGCAGCACTGTTTGTAAGAGCAGAAAAATAGAAACAACCTAAATGTCCTTCTACAGGGAAATGGATGAATGAATCATGGAAGGATATTAAGAAGTCAACAGGCCTTATTTCCAGGTGGTGAAAATATTAGAAATGTATTTGCTTCTTAGATAGTAACACCCACTGTCTTCATCAGTTCATCCCCTCTTTTTTCTGAAACAGAATCCCCCCTTCCCATGGGAAACCTATTTCCAGTGGAATTCCAGTGGAATGTTTCTTGAGTCCACCTCCCCTGGCCAACAGCTCACTAACCTGACCAATCAGAGCACCTCATTGCTAGCCACAGGCCACAAGGATTGGCTCAAGGATGCACATGTGACACACATCCAACCAATCAAGTCCCTTCCTGAGACTTTTCTACCTGAGCACTGAGAAAAGACTTTTCCTTTCTAGCACCGTTGTTTAGTTGATAGCGATTAGACTAGGGTCGATAGTGTCTACTTTTTTCCACCATCTGGAGAAGGCCTATTGAAGAAATGGGCTGAGAGAGCGAGCGAGATGGCATTCTGCCAATATTGTGTGAGCCCTGGGTACAGCCATGCCTGATCCACCCCTGGGACATCCTTGTTATTGGACTAATACATTCTCTGAGATCACCTAAAATCAGTTTGCAGCTGATTTCTGACACTTTCAGCTGAGTGAGCTCTGACTTTTACACTTCCATTTTGCTCCTGGTCCAGGCATGACTCACTACTTCCAGACTTTACTCCCCCAAATCAAGAATGCTGCCAAATCCACCTTTCCCAGCAACAACCCCCCCCCTTTGGTCTCTGCTTTATAGCAATAATTAGTATAGAGTTAAGTGTCCTTTTCCCTCTGGAAGAAAAATTATTTAACAGCATGAAGTGGAACAGAGTGTGGGTGGCCTTAACAAGGAGGTGAGGAAGCTTATGTAAGTGGCATGACTGTATATGATTATATCACCGGGGTGAAGGAAACTCATTCCTGTTTGGGTGCTGCATCGATCATTAAGTTGTAGGCTTACGTGAAACAAAATAATGAAGAAAAGCCATAAGGGTTTCATATGGTTCTAGCATAAAGAAAAGGCAAATAGCCAAGGTGACAGATGTCCCAAGCACACTGATTTGATCTTTACTAATTATGTGAATGTACTAAATTATCTCATGTACATCGAAACTGTGTACATCTATGATGCATCAACTTAAATAAATTTATGAATAAGTAAATAATTTTTTTTTAAAAAAAAGAAAAAGCCAGCAAGGCCTTCAGCAGCCCAAATGTCTTCTCTCCCCCTCTGGCAACCCTAGAATAATATCGACACTTCTTCGGCCTTCCTATGTCCCAGGCACTGTTCTAACCCCCTTCCATGTATTAAACCCTCATGGCAACTCCGTGAAGGGAGTATCATTATTATCCCCATTTTACAGGTGGGGAAACTGAGTCACAGAAACATTTTTTTTTGTAGCTTCCCCAAGATCTTATAGCTGATAAGTGGGAGAGACAAGATCCCAACACCTGCTGCCCAACTCCCCACATCCACAGTCGAAACCTCTCAGAAAAGCCAACACCAAACCTGTGTACAGCACTAAAACTCAACCGGTCAGCCCTCTCCATTTGGTCAAATATGCCACACATGTGTCAATGAAGGGGGGAGTCAACCCAATTATTTTTTGGTTTGTTTTTAATTAAATTGAGTTTCTGGCTTGCTCGAATCCAGACTATCAGGAATTACGATAACAACATCGTGCATGTGAGGCAGAGGTTTCAAACTGGACGGCCACAGACCCAGTTCAGCCCACAAATCTATTTGCGTTGGCTGGATCAGGTTTTTCTTTTTCAAAACACTTCAGATGGGGCATGTGCTCTCTAGTTTACCACAGTCCCCACCACTCCCGAATGCCGTCCACTTGGCCCACTTCACTCATTTGCAGGGAATCTGAGTTAGCAGGCTCCGATATGAGGAATGGGTGGTAACAAAAGGAGAAGGGAACTTTCTTGCTGGCCTCAAAAGAGGATTTGGGTAATCATAATAAAGTGTGTTGAGCGCCTACTGTATGCTAGATCTTTTTTTTTTTAATGTTTAAAAAGTAAACTTTATTCTTTAGAGCAGTTTTAGGTTCACAGCAAAACTGAGTGGAAAATAAAGTTCTCATACATCCCCTGTCGCACACACATACACACGTACGACCTCTCCCACTATCCACATCTCGTACCAGAGTGGTACGTTTGTTACAATCAATGAACTTAATCTGATGCATAATTATCACCCGGAGTCCATAGTTTACGTTAGGGTTTACTTTTGGTGTTGGACATTCTGCATTGTACATTCAACAAATGTCTATTCCGTGCACCTGCCACTGTAGCATCATGCAGAGCGGTGTGTACTTTTACTGCCTTGAAAAGTCTCTGTGCTCTACCATTCACCCTGTCTCCCCCAGTCCCTATGCCACATCTTGCGCAAACCGCTCTGCTCGCCTTGCCCCACTTGATCGTAGTAACCGTCCCATGAGAGGTTAAGTGTTCCAGCCACCATGAGCCACAAGAAGCACAACTGAGCCAGGGCCCCAGCCAGATTTAAAATCCATCACGCAGCTGGGTGCGGAGGCTCACGCCTGTAATCCTAACACTCTGGGAGGCCGAGGCAGGAGGATCATTTGAGGTCAAGAATTCAAGACCAATCTAAGCAAGAGCAAGACCCCGTCTCTGCAAAAATAGAAAAAATTAGCCAGGCGCGGTGCGGCACGCCTGTAGTCCCAGCTACCTACAAGGCTGAGGCAGGAGGATGCTTGAGCCGAGGAGTCTGAGGCTGCAGTGAGCTATGATGATGCCACAGCACTCCAGACAGGGTGACAGAGTGAGACTCTGTCTGAAAAAAACAAAAAACTCTTCCTTAGGTTACGCTGTGAACTGACATTGAAACTTTGACCCAGAACCTAGCAGGTGCTCAGTGAATGTGGGTTGAATAAATAAAGGCATGAACATCAGAAGAAGGGAGATGATGGAATATAGTGGGCTGTTAGACTGTGGCCAAGAATCGATGGCGGCCTCCTAGGTTTATGAAGGACCCACTGATGTCAAGTGCTGAGCTCAAAGGACCCAGGGAAGTCAAAGCTTAGAATGGCATCTTCCAAACCACCACCACTCGAGAACCAAGTTGTGCCCTGAGTTCCACTTGTACTATTATTTACTTTATAGATTTCTTTGCAAGCAACTCACTTTTTAAAAACTTAAATGCATTTATTGAAAGTGGACGCTTTGTAACACTTCTGTAAATGGAAAACCAATATCATTTGTCATAAATTGTAGGCAGCCACAAAAAATAAATACAACGAAGGCTTCCCAAAAAATGAAACTGTAGCTAGAGTTCTCTGCTGAGTGCTCTGTGCCTTGAGGCCTGCTCTCTGTTTGCTAAAACAAAGGCGCTGGGAGGGGGGAGAAAAGCGTTCCCCACATGCTAGCTAACTGCGCCTGCTCTTTCGGGAGTTGGCTGTTCACACCCCTTCGCTTGTTTCTCTGCCCGGATTCAAGACTTGTCCCAGCGATTCGTTTGAGTTCTTTGTAAAATAAAGATATTAGCCCTTTTCCTTCATGCATTAAAGGCTTAATTCTTGGCATTTTCTGATCCCTTAGAAGCATACTGGTATCAAATTGAGATCTTCTCTTTGGTGTAACACCGTTAAAAGAGACCTGAAATGGGATTGATAGCTTCACCTCAGGCCGCATCCCCGACAAGACCTCTTCTTAACTTCGGCGTCGATGCCACCCCAGCCCGAGTCACCGTCATCTCCCTGCCAGCTCTCGGCTACTCAGAGTGTGGGCCAGGACCCAGCAGGTCAGCATCACCCGGGTCTTTGTTACAGATGCAGATTCCAGGGGCGGGGCCTGGAGGCCGTGTAACCACCCTGCGCGTGGTGCTGATGCACCCCGACTTTGAGAACTAGAATCTATCCTAGATTACAGCAGCCTCTTGACGAGCCTCATTCCTGATTCCATTCTGCCCCTACCCTGCGCCCACCAACACTCCCTTCTCTGCACAACAGCCAGAGCGGTCTTTCTAAAACCACCGCTTCCCTGCTTAATCCTCCACAGGCTTCCGCTGGGTTTAGGGTACAATCCAATCTTCTTCCTTTTCCTACAAGCATCGCAAGCTAGGCCCCACCTCCCGCTCTGAAGCCTACATCTCACTACTCTCCTCCTTGTGCTGGGCTCCAGATGCTCTGGTCTTCTTTAAGCCCCTCGAATTGCCCCAAGAACACTCCTGCCTCAGGGCCTTTGCACATACTATTCTCCGTGCCCGGAAAGCTACTCTGCCAACATTCCCACAGTTCACTCTCTGGTTTTGTTCAGTCCCTAATCAAATGCCATCTCCTGTGAGGGGCCACCTCTGACCACCCTGATCAAAAATCTGCCCCTCTCAGGGTGACTAACTCATCCCAGTTTGCCCAGGACTTCCCCAGTTTTAAAACTGACAAAGTCCCCAGCAAACTGGGACAGTTGCACCCCACACACACACTGTGTAACACATCACCCTGCTGGGTCCTTGCTCATCGTATTCCATCTTCATATCTTTGCTTATCTGCTCTCTTTCCCTCTCACTCCAATGGGAGCCGCAGGAGGGCAGGGAGATCGGGATGTTCTGTTCACAGCTGAATTCCTGGCACCTAGAACAGTGCCTGGCACGTAACTAGCACTTAATTCCTGTTATCGACAAAGATATCAAAAGAATGGTCCCCACGGCCTATTTAACCTATTGCTTACAGTTTAGTTATTTCTACTGTTTGGCTGTTATGCATAAAGCTCTTTCCAGATTTAGAATTATTTCCTTGGGCTAGATAGCCAAAAATGGATTTATTGGGCCAAGGAGGATGCCCATCTTTAAGGTTTTGCTTCCTGGTGTCAAACCCTATCCCAAAAGGGTCAGGCCTCCAATTCCCACTGCCAGGGCTCTTGCACCCCCTCACTCTGCCCTGGCCAAAGCCAGGGTTCTCATTTTCTTAAATCTTTACTGGGTGAAAATGTAGCTGCTTGTTGTTTTAATTTGCATTTCTTTGATTGCTAGTTAGGCTGAACATTTCCCCATGCGCTTAGCTATTAATAATTGCATTTCCTCTTTAGTGAGTTGACTGTTCACACTCTTTTGCTTGTTTTTCTACCCAGATTCAAGACTTGTCTCAGCGATTCGTTTGAGTTCTTCATAAAATAAAGATATTAGCCATTTCCCTTCATGCACTGAAGGCTTAATTTTTGGCATTTTCTGATCCCTCCATTCAATTCTGTCCCTTCCGTATTTCCTCATTCCCTTTTTACATGTTTATACTACATTTTGCATTTCTCTTTTCGCTTGTCACTTTTAGATTTTTTCATAGTCAGTCATTGAACATGTGCTTAGAGAAACCCTCCACGCATTTCCCACCTCACTCGGCAGAAGGCATCTTGCTCAAAATCATCCACAGGGCCCTCCATGGCCTGTCCCTCACCCCCATGACCTCTCTGACCTCAGATCCAACTGTTCTGCCTCAGGATCTCTCTGCCACAGCCATTCGGGCTTCCCTGCTGATCCTCAACACACCAGCCACGCTCTCACCTCGGGGCCTTTGCACATGCTGTTTCCTCTGCCTGGAAGGATCTCTCCCCGGGTGTCTGCATGATTCCCTCCCGCCCCCCTCAGGTCTGCACTCAAATATCATATCAATAAGTTCAAGTTCAATAAATGTAAGATCCCCTCCCTTTTTCTCGCTTGGCACATTTCGAGTGCTCAGCAGCCGCAAGTGGCTAAGAGCCACCATATGGGACCTGCAGCTCCACACTGCAAACACCTGTAGGCTACGTGAGCTCATGCACGTAATTTCAGTGCCGCGAATCTCCTTCCACTGGCTACAAACCAGGCTGTGATGAGCGTAGCTATTTTTGTGGATTCAATGAAGTCTTGGGTGAAAAGTAACCGGTACACAGTAAACACTTTAAAAATTGTAGCTTCTGTTATCATAGGCAATTTATTCCCTTTCCAGGGGAGGAACCCTTGGTTAGAAAGAACAGAACTGAACTGACATTTTTTGAATACTCACTGCGTGCCAGCCCTGAACTTCAGGTATTTGATCTCTTTGGAACTTTGCAACTAGCCTTCCAGGTGAGTGTTAGCACCGCCACCTGGCCTATTCTCCGGCTGGCGGCTGATGGCTGATGGAAGAAGCCGGTTTCCCGGCTGGGGGTGGGAGGATGGCTGTCTACAGAAACCCTTTGGGAAAATCCAGCTAGCATTTCGGTTACCTTCAAAGACATCTCCTGGGAGGGAGGCTGTCTGCTGGCTCTTTCCTCACTTTCCCTCTTCTCCTTTTCTCCTTCCCTCCCCCTTTCTTCCCTCTCCCTTCCTCTCTCTGCCGTCTCTCCTGCCCTCCCTCTCCTCCCCCTTCCCCTTTTCTAGAAGATCCTGGAGCTGCTTCTCCAGTCTGTTCAGACTCTGCCAAAGCCTTGCCTTGGAGATTTTTCAACACGGTGTTTCCCCCCCAGGGATGGGAGACGGCAGATGGCTGCACAGACCTGCTCTGGAATGGGAGGGGCACCTCCCACGGGCCCCTCCGCGTCTAGACTGGAGTTTCCTGAAACATAAATAATCACAGGAACCCAGCAACGGGACTCCCAGAAGAATCCAGCTGATTTCTTCAGGATCCCAGTTTGTTCTTACAGAAGGAGAAGGTGAGGACAGAGCTCTTGCCTCGCCCAACAGTCAATGGCAGAAAGAGTTTGGTGGTTGGAGTCTAAAAGACGGGGTTCGAATCCTGAACCGGCTCTTACCTGCAGGACGTTGGGCAAGCTGCTTAACTGCTCTAAGTTGAGCTTCTCCATCTGTACGATGAATACACCGATTGCCTCTTGAGAGGTCCCTGTAAGGATTAATGAAAACATCACTTGGGCCATGTCTGGCATACAGTAAGTGCTCAATATCAGTGGTCTGTCAATGTGTTGGGGGCAAGAACCATGGCTGGGAATGTCTCACTCCCAGCTCCACCTCCAGTACCCAGAGCTTAGGTTCTGCACAAGTATTGCGTAATACACACACACACACATCTATATATTATACATCTCCATCTTTTAAGTTATAAATGTATAGCGGTGCTGGGCTCCCTCCAGACCTATGAGAACTGGATGTTGCTTCCCAGGTTCCAGGGCCGGGATAAGAAGGAGGCATTCCCTTAATGAGCAAAATTTAAGGGGGATCCAAAAACCCAAACATCAAGGTAAATAATATTTTGATGGAATCTTTTTAAAAATCAAAATTAATGCAAAAATATCCACGATAAACAAAATATCAACGTTTTAAATGAAGACGGCATCAGGATTGCCGACTTTTCCTTCTGTCCTCGGCTCCACACGGCGCCACCAGGCACAGTCAATGTACTGTTCAAACACAAACCTATTCGGTCCTTGTGACAAGGCAGTGAGGTGACCCCTTTCTAGATGACAAAAAGGAGGCCCAGAGGAGTGCCCAAGGTCATTCGGCTCATAAGTGGCAGAGCTGGGACTTGAACCCAGGCCGTCTGAATTCAGGGACCAGGTTCCCGTGCCTGGGTATGATACTAGCTCTGTCCACGGGATCTTGGCATCTTTGCACCATAGGCTCTGACCAAAGTTTTGGCATTTGAGCAGGACCCTCCTCCTTCCATGCAAGTCACAGACATTCAGGGCCCCTCCCCCGCCACGCACCAGCCCTTGGGCTGGGCCCTAGGGACAGAGAAACAGCTACAAAATCGCACCTGTCCTTAGAAGCGCCAGTGTCCCGCGTCGCGAGGGCGGGGCCTGTGCCAGGGGCTCCCGGAGACCCGGGCAGGTGCCGTGTGAGGTTAGAGGAGGGCATGACTAATCCAGCTTCCGCCAGGAGGCCGCTTGAAACGCAGAGGAGCTTCCCCGCCTCCCCGTCCTGTGACAAGTGACGGCACCTTTGAGAGATGAGTAAGAGGGTGTCAGCGGGAGAAGACAAAACAGCCCTGTCCCCGTTTGACACGCGAGGAGACTCAGCTCCAAGGCACACGGCGTGAGTGGTAACAACCTCTTGGCGCTCACTTCCTGTTCTTTATGGGTGACCAGATGGCCCTACACTCTTCAGTCGAGATTCTGAATGGGCAGCATGAGATGACCGCTAAGGGCATTGAGTCCGACAGCTCTGGGCCCAGATCCCCCCCGGGCACTCCCTAAACTGAGTGACCTTAGGCAGGTGGCACCATCTGAGCCTCCATTTCTACGTCAGTAAAACGGGGACAGGGATGCCGACCCCACGAGTGTTGTGGGGACCATATGAAATAAAGTGCCTGGCACAGTGCCAGAGAGATGGGACGCCCTCAGGAAGCGGTAACTACTGTCATTATTTTGAAAAAACGGGTTGCAGTGTCCACTGGCAGATGTAACCTGTGCTTGCAAAACGACCCAGCAACTCAGTCCCCGGATGACAGACAAAGAGTGAAACGGCCTGTCGGGTGCAACGAGCGGTAAGTTCACGGAGAAAGTCAAGCACAAAGACGCCGTCACCTGAAAAGTCAGGACGGCTCACTGACCCTCAACTGTTAGAATGTTGGGATCACCTGGGCACACTCACTCCCAGGGCTCCTGTTTTCATTGACAAAAGGGTGATTGAAGGGTGGGAAGCTCACAAGCAGCTCACTGTGAGGGTGGAGAAAAGTCTCTCACAAAAGGAGTAGGATATAATGAAGAAAACGTATATTTTACTGTCTCAGAGTGACAAAGGGTGGTGGGGAGAGAAAGAGAGAGAAAGGGAGAGGGAGAAAGGGAGAGAGAAGGAGAGAGAGGGACTCCCAAAAGGAAGAAGAGGGGAATGCCGGCCCCAAGCCAAAGAGGCTGGAGGTTTTATAGGGAATTATGAAGGGTGAAAAAAGGGTCAGTGCTGCAAGTTGATAGCAGAAGCAGCTATGAAGCTGTGTGTCTGTTTTTCTAATTTCCCCCTCTTCTCTGTGTCCCTCTTACCAGAGTCCTTGGAATCTGGTCTGGCAGGAACTGGGGGGTGGGGGGCGGGGGGGGCAGGGGCTCGCAGCCCTGCTGTCCACTGAGGGCTCTTTAAGGCTCAAGAGAAGGTTGGTCTCATCTGACTTCTTGGAATGTGTCAGGCAGATGCTGAAGGGGCCTCTAAGAGATGCTCAGGGGCTACATGCCTTCTTCTGTTTGTTCAGTGTTTTTCCAGTTCTGCAAAACAAGCTCGTAAAACAAGATAACCACCCCCCCCAGGTGATCAAGAAAGAAGCAAACACTGGAGCCAGCACACCGTGTTCAATGGTTTACGGTATTAGCAGTGCCGTCCTTTCAATTGGACCGGAAGGGAATCCGTGTCATTATTTTGTAAAGTTTTCCCAGGTGGCCCCAGGGGCAGCCAGGCATGAGAACTGCCCAGAGGGTGGGAAGGAAGAGGTGACCTTGGGGACAGGGCCTTAGCAGGGGGCAGGGACTGGTAATGACCTGGTAACAGATCCATGGATGTCCAGTTGAATAATTATTCTTTCACAGCACCTTCATGTTTTATGCACTTTTCTCTATGAGTATTATGCATCATAGTCGTAACTTTTTAATTATGGAGAATTTAAAACACACACTGAGGAAACAAACTGGTACAATGAGTCTCCACGCGCTGTGACCCAGTTCCCCAAACCATCGCCGCCCAGCCAGCCCTGCCTCTCCACACGCCCAGGCGCCAGCCCCACCAGCATTTTGAAACAAAGGCCAGGCATGGAGCCGTTTCGTCGGGAAGCATCTCCATGTGTGACTTTAAAAGATCAGGGCTCTTCTTTAACAAAACCACCCTACCACCTAGGACATGAATCATTCCTTAATGTCAGCAAACATCTAGTAAATGTTCACATTTCTAATTGTCTCATAAATAGACTCTCTTCAGGATTTAAGTGAGATCTGCCCATTGGCAACCTGCTGCTTTGTCTCCTAAGTCTCACACGTATGTTCTGTTTCAGCGCTTCTCACACATTAGCGTGCACTAGCGTGCATTCGCGTGAATTTCCTGGGGGTCTGGTTGAAACGGGGACTCTAACAGAGTAGGTCTGGGGCGGGCCCGAGATTCCGCACTTCTGAAATGCTCCCAGCAGACGCTGATGCTGCCGGCGCGTGGACCACACCTTAAGTAGCAGAGCTCTGTTTCGTGGCTTTTTAAGGGAATGTAGAGCTCTTGGGAGGACCCAGCCTGGCACAAAATCCTGGGAGCCAAACCACAGCTGGCTGGGAAGTGCCCTCACCTTCTCCCAAAAACTGAAGGCCTTTGATAATCACACCCACTGCCTTTGATAATCACACCCGCTGTGAGTGTTTAAATGTCAAAGGCAACACCTGCCCCTCCAGGATTGGGACCTGACACCCTCCAAGAGTTCATCAGAGCAGGGTCTGGCCATCCCAAAACCAGAGGCCGCCTTGTCAAGAACCTCAGCACCTCTGGAAGTGCATTGATTTGTTCAGTGTCTGGCAGACAGACAGAAACACAAGCTGCAGAAAGAAGGCAGTTACCTTTCCTCGCAGTTATAGGTTTAATTAAAAAGCCCCGTGCTGCCAGATTCCAAGCACCCTCCACTGATCTGTGAGACCTATTGATTGCTTGCCTCTCCCCGCAAGACACAGCAGAGAGAAGACTTTATCTTCCTTTAATCAGCCCTGCTTCCCTGAGATCCGGCTCGGACGGACGGGGCTGCCGAGTTCTCCTACCCAGCTTCTATTGCCCAACCCTCGGCCAGCCCCGAATACGGCGGGCAGAGCCAGGGAGCCAGCATCGGCCACCGTGAGCTGCAGTCTGTGCCCCCAGGGGACTGCCATCCTAAGAGAGAGGCAGCAACACCGTCACCGCCACAGCCGGGACGAACAGAACACGCACCGCGGGCCGGGCACCATGCCAATGCCGCAAACACACCCTCTCATCTTACTCATTAGCGTCGTTAACCTAGCTCCGCATCAGCCCCTAATTGCCCAATCTAATGTTACCTGCACCAGGCGTTTGTTCTCTTTCACATCAGCTGTTTTTTTTTTTCATACCCCTAATTATTATCCAAAACCATGTTTATTTATTCGCCTCTTTCCATTGTCTCTGCCCCTGCATCACAAATGCCACAAGGGCGGGCATTTTTGCCTTTCTCATTCCGTTCAGTGTCCCGGCACCTAAAACAGCCCCCCACACATAAAAAGTTCTCAGTAAACATGTGCTGAATTTAATCTATCACAGTTACTCTTCCCAGCAACCTAGGAGTGCATTTAGTCTTACACCCATTTTACAGATGAGGAAACCGAGGTTCAGGGAAGAAAAGCAATTTACTCAAATTGAACCCACACAGGAAGCTGTAGGGCAGAGGTTGAAACCCAAGTCCAACTCTAGCTGGGATTCATAACCTGGAGTCAGGGAACTGGATGGGAAAAAAAAAAAAAAGAAAGAAAGAAACTCTTAAAAAAATGTTGCTAACATCTAATTGGAATGTAGCAATTCTTTCCATTGCGAGTATAGGCAACAAACTGCCATAGTGTCAGCAGAACCTGTGACTTTGTCACCAATAGGAATCACAGATTTTCCATGTCCCGTTACATTTGTTGCAGAGATGTTGGATTATCATTTACACTCATCACTGCTTTGGAATTATAAGTGTAATAATGTAGCTGATGCACCGCCCAGTCTTGTTGTTTAGTGTGTTAATAAAGAAGCAGAGTGTTGCCATATCACAGTCTGGCTTTGTAATATTTTGATAACTGTATTTGCATAGAGTCGCTTGCCTTCGTAATCCTATGGATTTTATATTTAAAAACATTATTCTGAGAAGGGCTCATAGGCTTCGGCAGATACCAAAGAGGCCCCACGGTGCAGAAAAGATTCAGAACTGGGCTCTGGATTCCACACTCTGACCACCTGGCTACAAATAATAACTTGTGGCTCAGGCCGAAGGTGTGTATCAAAAAGAACCCTGGGCAGGACTCCAGCTGTCCTCTCTCCAAGGGTGGGGACACTGAGGCCCAGCGTGGGGACGTGACCTGGTGGAACACATAGCAAGGTAGCGCCTGGGCCTGAACTAGAATCCAGGTTGTCTCATGCGTAGCCCAGCACCTTTCCGGCTGTACCATGCTGCCACCTAAGGACACAAAGCGTTCCAAGCCCAGAAGTGTGTGGGCTGCGGCCCACAGTGACGGGCCACTTGGAGGCAGTTTGTGCAGTGGACGAGGCTCTGCTTCACTGACCTGCAGTGATTCATATTCACTTGTTCACACAAAGCAGTCATTATTCTCTTGCATGCTATCAGCGGGGATGCAAATAAGTTCAGCCACCTTGAAAAGCAGCTGAGCAGGACCTAGCAAAAATAGGGTTGGCTGTTTTTACTTTGGCCCAGTAATTCCACCACCAACACCTACAATGTACACCAGAAAACGATGGGTCCCTGACTGCATATTTGAACCACCTAAAGGAGCTTCTAAAACTACTAATGTTGACCCCCGACCCCTCGATTAAGAATTTGGGGGGTGCGGGACATGGGTGGGACCACAAAAGCTTCCAGGTGATTCTATCTGCGGCCAAGTTGAGAGCAACTGGCATCAGGAAACTCTCCACATAGGCAAAAGGAGGCTAGCGCAGCACCACTCACTGAAGTGCTATTTACGATGGCAAGTCGGCAGACACAACATAAATGCCCATCAACACAGGAATAGCTTGAGAAAACAAAAGACAATTACTAGCATAGTGAAATGCCATACAGAAGGTACGAGAAATTAACTAGCTCTATATATACCAGCAAGGAGTGCTCTCGGAAACACATAGATGGGTGGGGGAAAAAAATCAAGTTGCGAAATATACACAGAGAGTGCTACATCTTTGGGTTTTCAGAACAATACTAAAGGTGCATGCCGATGGATTTGCAAGTATTTGGAGGTCCTTAAGGATATATACCATGTTCATAAG